TGGCTGCTTTTTTCATGTTTCCCTCTTTCCCTATCCTCTGGTTCTTCATCAGCCTTCCATTGTCTGTCTTTCCTCCTTTGGCTGTTGAACTTGTTGAAGGTTTGGTTGAGTCCCTTCCCTGCTTGCTTTTCAGTCCTTGTGTCATAAAGTTGTGTAATCTGCCTTCCACCTTAACCACGACTGAATGATTTTTCATGAGGCATTGCCGACCTAATGTCATCTTCAGCCCTCATTTTCCTGTATTTCTTACTAGTGTTTTGACCTTCTTAACAAGTCCTTTTTGAAGTGCTTTCTTCCTTGGATGCCATAACACTGCTTTTCTGGTGCTCCTCTAATCGTTTCAGTTCTTTTCCTACCTTCTTTAGTCATTCTTCCTAAAACTTGGGATGTGTCAGCAGCCCCCTGCTTCTGTCTTGCTTTCGTATCTCTATCTTGGGTTTGGTCGCTTTTGGCAGCAGCCCGTGGTCAGAAGCTGCCCTCTGAGCCCTCCGCGAGCCCCCTCAGACTGTGCTGGCTGCCTGGGCCACTCCCGTCCTCCTCCTCCCCCTTCAGACTTACATGTCAGAAAGTCAGGGCATTGTCTCCTGACTCACTGATTTCCACCTGACTTTGTGTTGTGATTCCTCCAGATGATGTCTACATTTTCTCAAATACAACGTGGATAATTAAACAGACCTGTTATTCTCTTACCTACCCCATATCCTGTTTGAAGTAATCATACATCATTCAAAAAATATTTCTTAATAGTTTTTTTGTTGTTTCGTATCATAAAGGTAGTACATGTAGAAAAAAAATTTTTTTTAATGTGGAAAATTTCCAGAAGATGAGTAGAAGAAAATCTACCTGTAATCCTGCACATAGTCACTGGGGACATTTTGATAAGTTACATTTTGGTCCTTAGAAGCGTCTAATATTAAACATTGATTTGGCAGACACTGAGCTTACATCATACAGATGCTCTTACAGAGATGGCACAGTGCATGCACTATTTCTTTTTAATCTTGTTTTTTCCTTTTGATTTCTTTTTCAGAGCCTAGTAAAAAGTAGGGCTCTATTATACATTCATAGAACTTATAATTTAAAATTTTAAATCCCGAGATTTTGCAGTAATAATAAACAGTTGGAATTAGAAGTTGTCTTTTTTGGTCTGAATTGATTGGATTTTGCAGTGCATGATCTCCAATGTCGGGATGCATTGTGACTACTCTTTAAATGACTTTACACCTTCACTCACTTTATTTACTTGCTTTCTGCTTGTTTTAAATTAGGGTATATTCTTTTCTCCAAAGTAAAATGAAAATTTCCACTTTTGAAGATGTGATATTTTCAAATTAGATAAACTCTGGGTATATTTGTTTCCTGCATAGATAAATGTTTTTATAATCTTAAAATATGACCAGTAGTAATTTGTGAAATGTATTTTAACAGGTAAACAACGTAGACTTCACAAATATCATAAGAGAAGAAGCTGTCCTTTTTCTGCTTGACCTGCCAAAAGGAGAAGAAGTGACCATACTGGCTCAGAAGAAGAAGGATGGTGAGATACCGTCAGAATATTGAGAAAATAAACCTGGAGAAGTTTGAGGACTTAAATAGGAATTTTAATTTTAATGTTTTTAATAAATCAAAGTTAAGTGATAAATGACTTTGTTAATCTCGCAGATTTTGTTTATTTTGTCATTTAGGGGCACACAGTCTTACACTGTGCTCGTTAGCACAGCACAGTAATAGGACCAGCCAAGCTTTCTGGCGTTCTATTGAAGTAGAGTGCCATCTGCATGGGAAAATCCTATAGTATACTCCACACAAAAGTGCATGTGGGCAGCTTCTGAATTTTGTATTCATGTTTTCTAAGCAATATACTCTGATGTTTGTTAGCATTAATGCAAGGGAATGCCTGATTTTCTCTGTGATTAAGCAGATACATTTTCATTTAGAACAGGGTTTCTCAAGCTTGTCACTGTTGATGTTTTGAGCCAAATAATTCTTTGTTGTAAAGGCTGTCCCGTGTGTTTTAGGCTGTTTAAAAGCATCCTTCCCTCTGCTCACTAAGTGTCCGTAGCACACACACTCTCCTTTCAACACGCAGTTGCAGCTATCAAAAATGTCTCCATGTATGCCAGCTCTTCCCTGGGGGGAACGGAATTGCCCTCATTCGAGAACCACTCATTTAGAAAATGGGACATAGATGAGGTTTGCAGGGGCTGCAGCGAAATTAAGTTAGATGATTTAAATAGAAAGCATGTGTGGCTTTGGACAAGTTGCTTGATCTGTATCTGCAGTAGTTTCCTCATTTGTGAAATGGAAGTGCTAAGAGTTCCCATTTCGTGAGATAATGATGATGTCCACAAGACAGAATACTTAGTAATTAGTAAGGAGCCACCGTTTGTTGGAAACTGTTGTTTTTGTTATTGATATTATCAGTAGAATCTTCACATAATGTATTCTCTTCAGATTAATATCTTTTCCCACTAGTTATTGATAATTTTTTGTTTTGATTCCTTTTAGTTTATCGTCGCATCGTAGAATCAGATGTAGGAGATTCTTTCTATATTAGAACCCATTTTGAATATGAAAAGGAATCTCCCTATGGACTTAGTTTTAACAAAGGAGAGGTGTTCCGTGTTGTGGATACTTTGTACAACGGAAAACTGGGCTCTTGGCTTGCTATTCGAATTGGCAAAAATCATAAGGAGGTAGAACGAGGCATCATCCCTAATAAGAACAGGTATGAATGTTTGGATACTTCTTACAGAACAGATTAAGGAAATGATGACAAGATTTCAGTCCCACTGGGAAGTTTTGGTAACGTAAAGAATTAATTTTCACTGTATTTACCATATCTAAAACTGACTTAGTTGTATAAACTCCTTTATTTTAGTTTAACCATTAAGATTTAAACTGCGTGTGAAGTTCTATCCAGTGTTTTGACATTTTGTTTCACTATAAGTCTTTCTCCATTTTGTTTTTAAAATACCCTAATTTTTATTTTTGTCTTTTCTCGTCCAGAGCTGAGCAGTTAGCCAGTGTACAGTACACACTTCCAAAGACGGCAGGAGGAGACCGCGCCGACTTCTGGAGATTCCGAGGTCTGCGTAGCTCCAAGAGAAATCTGCGCAAGAGCAGAGAAGATTTGTCAGCTCAGCCGGTTCAGACAAAGTTCCCAGCATATGAGAGAGTTGTTCTTCGAGAAGGTAGTCTGTTTTCTACAGATGAACCTAATACCTTTTAATGTCAGTTTGCCTGAGAAAGAAGAAGTATAAACTGTGCTATTTTTCATTTGAATCTCCCCAGCTGGATTTCTGAGGCCTGTAACCATCTTTGGACCAATAGCTGATGTTGCCAGAGAAAAGCTGGCCAGAGAAGAACCAGATATTTATCAGATTGCAAGTAAGTAGTCTCCATACGGACTTCAGATGAGATTGAGCATGTTTCTTTACTAATTACTTCTCTAAAGGGTGGGTCTGATCCATTCACTTAATAGAAATAACACTTTTTGTAAGTGAACATTTGCAATTGACCCCATGAGGGAAACCTGAGTGACTGTGTCTGTCCTCTGCCAGTTCCCTTTCATAAGAAAAAGAATCACCACTTATGAGAATCTCTTAGCACACAGTCTTGTTTAATCCTGACAGTATCCCATGGGGCGGGTGTCAGAATGTCCAGCTGAAGCTGGGCAAGCTGAGCTGTAGGGTGGTTGTGATGGAGACCACCGCCCCGCCTCTTTAGTTGGGGTGTCATGATGACACCCAGCTAATGAGTCACACACTTGGCTCTGAACCCAGCTCTTTCTGGCTCCAGCCCAGTGCTTTCAGTCATTAAGCAAACAAATACTCAGATATGTCAGAAGAGTAATAAAAGCATGATTCATGCTATTGCTTATTGCAGACATATAGTAGGTTAGTATAAAATATAAATATTGAGGAAGTAGTGCTTTAAATGCCTTACAGATTTTGCTTTGCAGATTCTTTCATTGTTTCATTATTTTAGCTATTACGGTAGTTTAAATACACAGACTTAGATATGATCACTTAGGCTTGCTTTAAGTTATTTGTATAGTCTGTTTTAAATTTATATTTTACTAATACAAAGGGTGCAGAAATCTGTCCATATTTTGTTTGCTCTGTCTGTCCATATTATGCTTTGCTTTTGTTCCGCAAAGGATTTAAATACTCAAGAATATAGCGCTTTCCATATATATGCTGAATTTCTTAGACTGAATTACCAAAGATAGGAAGGAATGACCCAAGACATGAGCACTCCTGGCTGCTGCTGTGTAACTATGGCTGCTTCCAGAGGGTTGTGCAGCTGTTGTTCCTGCTGGCACTATAAACTCCCAAGTGCTGATTTAATATTATATATATTGCTTTTCATTTGGTTGCTGGTGAAGTTGAATGAGGATATTTTCTGAAACTCAGAAGATTTGCAGACAAATGATAGTAAAATTTGAGCAATTTAGAAAATGTTCATTTCTGATTCATCACTCAGTTTGTTAGTCTTTTCAGAAGAGATCTTTTTTCGTCATTGCTTATAGATAACATTTTGCCTGAAGAAGTTGATGTGTATAGATACCACCTATAACCAAACTTAGGGCTTTTAAATTTAGGAAAAGCAAGTGTGAAGACTTAGAAAGCTCTGTCTTAAGGACTAATTGGTTGATTAATTGGGTTTACTCTACAACCACACTCTTACGAAAGGGATTCAGATCGCTTAGTTATGTATCCTCTTTGAATCTAACGAGAGTTTTTTGAGTTTAGAGACTAGTAGCATTTTCTCCACCCAGAATCTCCCAGTTGATCTCCCTCCGTCATTCTCCTGTGTCCACCAGATTGGAGATTGGCCCTGCTGTCTCATGATGGCCTTGTTCTCCCAGATCATCCCCTTGTCCCTCAGCCTGACCTCTGAACTTCCATGTCTCTGTCTTTGTCTGATCTGAACAACCAGAGCTCTAACTTCTGAACTTTCCTGTGACGAGAGTCTCAGACATCGCTGTGCCTTTTCGGTGAAAGCCTTCATGTCAGCAGACCTCTGAGACGTGCCTTGGCGTGTTCTGCGCCAGGAGGCACGCCCAAGCTACCTTGGCGTGTTCTGCGCCAGGAGGGAGGCACAGGTTGCCTGTGTGAAAGCACAGGCTGTGTCATAGTCACAAGTTACAGCCTTCTCTGCTCCTAAGTCCCCTTCTGCTGATGGGAAAAGAGGTCCCTAACCCAGGACTCCCCAGCCAGTCTGCTGTAGTTGTTGCTGCTGAGTGTGGGCCTGCCCAGGTATTGAGCAGCCGTCTGCGGCCGGGCGGGCCCTGCTGAGGGGAGGCCTCCTCAGGGTATCTGTGTGCCATACAGACAGAACCACTGCTACTCACATGCCACAACGTGAAAAAGGTTTGCAGACAGTGCCATGCTAGGCCACACTGGAGCAAAAGAAAAAGGGAAATCCCTATATACATGTTTTTATATATATATTATATATATATTTTTAATGGCTGCTTTTTCCAGAACATGAAAATAGTTGGAAAATTTTTGAAAACATGCATATTAAAACTGATATTATTTTAAATTTAAATATTTTATTTAGACCAAACACATAATTTCTAATTTTACCTTCCTGGTTTTAATGGAAGCAAATTTATCAATATTATTTTGTAAATCTACATTTTCTTAAAGCTTACTTTCAGTTGAGAGAATTGCCATATTTGGCTGTTTCTCTTGACCAAGTGACAGTCCTAAATAATATTTGCTCACATTCCACTTAATGATTCTTTTCTTTTAAATAATTAATTAATTAATTAATTAGTCAGGCTGCATCAGGTTTTAGTTGCATCACTCGAGCTTTTCGTTGTGGCATGCTGGCTTGTCTCTAGTTGTGGCATGCAGGCTCTAGAGCACGCAGGCTTAGTTGCCCCGTGGCATGTGGGAACTTAGTTGCCCAACCTGGGATTGAACCCACATCCCCTACATTGCAGGGTGGATTCTTAACCACTGGACCACCAGGGAAGTCCCTCCACTTACTGATTCTATTTAAAATGTTCATTTTGAAGTATTTATTTTGCTTTTGTGAACATATTGCATCCAAATATTATTGGACTTCTGAGGTTTGGGGGCACCCCCTTGAATTTTGCACCGGGGTGAGTGGCCCACTTGCCTTTTTTAAAAAAAAAATTATTTATTTACTTACTTACCTACCTACCTACTTATTCATTTAGCTGTGCTGGGTCTTAGTTGTGGCATGCAGAATCTTCATTGTGACATGTAGGATCTTTATGGGGCATGTGGGCTCTTAGTTGCGTCATGCATGTGGGATCTAGTTCCCTGACCAGGGATTGAACCTGGGCCCCCCGCATCAAGAGCACAGAGTCTTAGCCACTGGACCACCAGGGAAGTTCTCCCCCTTGCCGTCTGATCCCAGCAGTGTTGGAAGCATTGATGTAACCCCAGGGTTCTCAGCCAGGGTGGGTCTGCCCCAGAGACGACATTTGGCCACAGTTCTGTTTGTCGCCGTGGGAGCAAAAGGGAGGTGGGGGGCTGCTACTGACATCCAGTGGGTGGAGGCCAGAAATGCTGCTCAATAGGCCGTGGTGCACGGGAAGTCCCCATAACTACACGTCATGGAGCCCAGTGTGTCATTATGCCCAGCAGTTGAGAAACTGACCTAACCAGTGGAAATTTGGTGTTTTGTTTTTGTCCTGACTGCATGACTAGAAAGTGAACCTCGAGATGCTGGAACTGACCAACGGAGCTCTGGCATTATTCGCCTTCATACAATAAAGCAAATAATAGATCAAGTAAGTTATTAGAAATTGACCCGTTTCATTGTAAGCTGTGAATTTTGTGTTTCTCAGTGGGATGGGTTTGGTTAAACTGAAAGTAGACGGTAGTTTTTCTAGTTATTACTGGTATACCGTAAGTAAATTACGGAGACATTATAATAATCACTTTCAATGGAACAGTAGTACGTGCCTGAAAAGACGAGCTTTCATTACCACAAAAGAGTATACAGTGTTCACGTATGTTGATAGACTTGATATCGCATCAGGACAATTCAGGTTGCACTTTGATATTTATATGTTAGGAATGTGTTACTACTCACAAGGCCATGTCAGGAACATTAAATTGTTACACTTATTTTCACTCTCTGCTTGCAAGTATTTGGGCTATCTTAAAAGTGAGCTAGTTAAAACTTCTTTTTAAATTGGACTAGAAATTATATTGCATTAACTTCTGAGTACACTTTTTTCTAATATGTGCTCCTGAGACATTTTGGAGCACAGTTAAACGTCCATTCCCATTGGAATGTAGTCTCAGCTGTGAGTTTCTGAAGGTGTTGCTTCTTAGTTACCGTGTCTTGCGTCCTTGTTTATTTTTTTCTTGTGTCTTCAGGATAAACATGCTTTATTGGATGTGACACCAAATGCAGTTGATCGTCTGAATTACGCCCAGTGGTATCCAATTGTAGTGTTCCTTAACCCTGATTCTAAGCAAGGTGTGAAAACAATGAGGATGAGGTTGTGTCCAGAATCTCGGAAAAGCGCCAGGAAATTATATGAGCGGTCTCATAAACTTCGTAAAAATAATCACCATCTTTTTACAAGTGAGTATATTAAAGGCCTTTCAGCTTACAGTGTCTGTGCAACAATATTTGGGCAAAAATGTTGTGTTGTTCAAATGTTAAAACTCATATAACCTTTGCCTGTTATGCTTGCTGTTGTGTTAACGGCTGCTGTTGATTGAAAGAAATGGTTCAGTGCCAAAATAGACATTTCCAGGGGTGTGTCCTCAATACCATCTGTCAGATAACTCAGTAGTGGTGACTGAACTCTAAGCAATGGTTGAGTGAATTCTGACTTTTGCCGTGTTGTAATCATAGAACAATGTTATCTGTTTGCAGCTACAATTAATTTAAATTCAATGAATGATGGTTGGTATGGCGCATTGAAAGAAGCAATTCAGCAACAACAGAACCAGTTGGTGTGGGTTTCTGAGGGAAAGGTAAGAAATTTCCTGTTTTTAACCCATTTGATAAATTATATAATCAGAGAAGCCTTTGAGTCACCATTGTTTTCTAATTGGATCAACTTATTAAAGTAATTTGGGGCATTAGCTTTTAGGTTTTTATAATTTGTAGGGGTTATGAAAGTTGTTTTTGATAGTAGAAGATTCTGAAGTTTCTCTCCCCACTGAATTACCATTCAGTGGTATTCTCAGAGAATTCTCAGAGGGTAACTTAAAAGAGCAGGGTTGAGTTCTGACTCTGCCCCTCTCTGACTGAGGAATGACTTTGAACCTGGCTTCCGTTTCTTCCTCTGGAAACAAGGGGAATGGGTGGGCTAGATGAGTGGTCCCCAAAGTGCTGTGCTCAGCATGTGAGATCCAGGACTGGCCCTGAAAAAAAGGCACTCTGAAGGCAAGGAATGGTTGGGGACCACCGTGCTGCAAACCAAGTGCCCTGGAGCAGCACAGTACCCACCAGCGTGGTGACGGCTCTGAGAGGTCTGAAGTAAAGGACTTACTTTGCTACTTTAAGCATTTCCCTAAATCCTTACCTAAGGAATTTTTTTTCACTCAGCACCCGTTAACATTCTTAAAATATACTGAAAATGTTAGACAAAGCAATACATCCTTTTGGCTTTGAATTTTGATTTTATAAAGATTAAAATAACTACTTTCTGTTGTTAAGTCATTCTGGTCTTTTAGCAGTTCTTGATGGGAAAGTCCTGTTTATTTTGTTGGGAGAGATAATAATTTTCTCAAAGTATACAGATAAAAGAATCTTTTGTTTTAAAAATCTTTTACCTTCAGATCAACACAATATTAATATATTTTAGTTGCTAGGGAAGATTGAGAATATCTGTTCTCTTATTTTGTTTTTTGTATTTTCTTGTCGGCTTGGTTTTTGTTGTGTTTTGCCCCTGCATGGCCCCCACTTTCCTCTGCCTGGCTATGGCCCCAGGTGCTGTGGCAGTGCATGCTGCATGCTTAGGACCCCCGTGCCCCTTACCCAGAAAACACAACCTCTGCCAAGAAGAGATGTTGAAATGCTGACATCTAGAGGTAGTGTCTGCTGCTCCCACCTGTGGTCCTGTGTCAGAACCATGCCTTTTCTCCTCAGTACCACTCTGGGCGGTGGACTGTACACATGAGATCCCGAGACCACTTTGAACTGACATATCAGCCGGGGACGCTTTATAGACAGAGGGAGGTAGAATAAACTCACTACACCACTTTATACGACACACTGTTACTAATTCTTAACTCTTTGATTAAAAGGATTACCGTCCTCTCCATACTAATCTTCTATGACAACACAGTTTTCTGCCAGCAGCCTTGGTCAGGTAGAATGTGAATAGCTTTCACTGGTGATTTTTCTTTTCTTTTTTCTTTTTTTTGCGCTATCACTGGTGATTTTTGAAATAATATTAGTTTATAAATGCACAAGGTATACGTGTCTACCTATCTGAGAGGTTTTTTAAATCCACAAATCTTAATTTTCTGTGATTTCTCTGTGATACTATTCTGTGCTTCCTTTCTTTGCTTGGATTTTAAAATGAAGGTCTAGCTCTCCCACCTTTTTGTGTGAGGAAAATAGATCATCTCAATTAATTTTATTAACTTTATTAATAGGTCATTTACCATTAGAATAGATTAATGCATTTTGTAAATCAGAAAACGTGTTACAATTTAAATCAAGTTTGATTTATGCCCCCTTCCATTCAAGTGTATTTTCTCCAAATAGATTCTTAAACTAAAACCACTTCATTTCACATCGACTCTCCTGAGCTAACTACTTTGATCTGATTGCTAGGAAGAGTTCCTTTTTGCAGTTTCTGTTACAGGCTTGTATGTTCCCTATTAAACCAAGAAAAATCATCCGGAGGCTTTCTTAACATGTAAGCATATGTCATTTCTGGTTCAGAGCACTCCTGGTTCTTGCTCACTTCTGCATTTCATACCACTGCAAAAGCTGAGCAGATGAGTGAGTTGAGTTGTTCTTCCCCAGGGCCTTAAATACTTCCCTGGCTGGCTCCTGGGTTATAGTCTTCCAGACCCCGCGAGTCAGAGATCAAAGATAGCAAGGTTTCAAGCCATTGAGATTTCAGTGGGAGAGACTCTGCCGGAACATAGAGCATAGCCCTGGTGCGCTCACTCTCCAAACCGGGCAGGTGATCTGTTGAAAGCCAGAGTCACGGAAGGCTGGTCTTTCCCATTAAGGGAGGGCTCAGGGTCAGGCTGTTGCAGAGCCAGGATTGGGACTGTGGGGGAAGCACCATTCAGGCGGCTCGAGCCTTGTTTATCCTTCAGTCCATGCCATCAGAATTCTGGGTTCTGGATCCTCCAGCTCTCATGCCTCTCTGGGCACAGGGTCCAGGCAGGGTCTTCCAGGACTGCTGTGTGTAATAGGGGTACTAGCTTCAAATTCGTATCCATGACAGCCTGTTGACTGCAGCACTGTACTTCCCTTCCCCTCAGATACTTCTGTTCTCTCTGGTCTGCTCAGAAGATAATCAGTGCAGACTGAAGGCTAACTCAGCTCCTAATGGTCTGTAAAAGAGAGTCATAACTGCATTTCCCTCTCTGCATCCGTCTGTGAAGAATAATTTTTAAAAGCTCTTAGTTTAATTAGGCAACCGGCACTTAGATGATGCTTTTCCGTTGTGTTTTATAAAGCTCTAGGGCCAAATACCAACTTTTTTAAGAAGTTGTTTTCTTAATATATAGATTTTATATATACATAAGCTCTTGTTCAGCTTGAACTGTGGCGTTTATTTTCCTGGTTTTTCTCACGTGCGCTGTTCTGTCAGTCGCTGTGTCTTTGTTTCTGTGAGCTTGGTCTGGCAGCATTCTCCCTCTTCACCCTTCTCTGGGCTGACAAGCTAGTGACTGACTAGGTTTCAAAGTCAGAGTGGGGCCAGGGATCCTTCGCTGTCTTCTGGGGCTTTGTCACGGCCGGGCCAGCCGACCTTCCGCTCATCCAAGCCCTTCAGATCTCAAAGGATGCTCTGTGTGTCTGCATGTGTGCTTGTACTATCTTCTTGACCTTTCCTCACCAGAAGTTTCAAGAAACAGATGTGATTTCTCCAAAGAAAAGTATCCTTTTCAGTCTCCCTTGTAAAATAAAGGCCATCTCTTAAAGAACTACTGAATAAAATTTTAATTTACTTCTATTTGACCCAGGCGGATGGTGCTACAAGTGATGACCTTGATTTGCATGATGATCGTCTGTCCTACCTGTCAGCCCCAGGTAGTGAATACTCAATGTATAGCACGGACAGTAGACATACTTCTGACTATGAAGATACAGATACAGAAGGCGGGGCCTACACTGATCAAGAACTAGATGAGACTCTTAATGATGAGGTGGGGACTCCCCCGGAGTCTGCCATTACACGGTCCTCTGAGCCTGTCAGAGAGGACTCCTCTGGAATGCATCATGACCACCAGACATATCCTCCTTACTCACCACAAGCGCAGCCACAGCCAGTTCATAGAATAGACTCCCCTGGACTTAAGACAGCCTCTCAACAGGTAAGCAGCAAGCATTCAACGTTTTGCAGTTAGAGGTGCATTGTTAAAGTCTAGGATATGGTGATTGAATTAAAAAATATATTGTCCTTTCTCCAGATTAAGAATTAATCTTTAATTTCAACTTGAGAATACCAAGGACTTAATTCTAAACTTTGTGTGTTTATCTTAGATAGCAGTATACTGAAATTTAAAAAATTCAGGACATGAGGTCATAGTTTTGTTATTTAGCACACTTAAAATGTATGTCTATCAACCACTATAAATGGAAGTGGGAAGTTAGCAGTAAACAGAAACACTATATTTAAAATATTTTAAACACTTCACAGAAAGCAGAAGCCTCATCTCCAGGCCCTTACCTTTCGCCTGAAACAAACCCAGCATCATCAACCTCTGCTGTTAATCCTAATGTAAACTTAACTAATGTCAGACTGGAGGAGCCCACCCCAGCTCCTTTCACCTCTGACTCACCACAAGCTGATTCTTTAAGAGCACCACGCACTGAGGCAGCTCACATAATGCTAAGAGGTCAAGAGCCATCATTGTCGTCGCATGTAGATCCAGCAAAGGTACCTGTGCTGCAGTGTTGCGCTAATCTGTTGCTCTCCATCAGTCTAGCACATGATCATGTTTGCTTTGCCCTTTAAGTGTTCCTTTTGCTTTTTACTGTGGGCTTATGCACCGTAGTGTTTTCAAATCAGTACAGATCATTTCGGTTCTATAATTTGCATGGCTTCCAGTGATATACTGATTATTTTAAAATAGGCCTTTTAATTGGGATTGGTACTTAATATTTTTATTATTTTTTAATGTTTGGCTTTCAGAATCTTCCAGAATTTCTTTCTTTCTCTCTTTATTTTTTTAAACATCTTTATTGGAGTATAATTGCTTTACAATGTTGTATTAGTTTCTGCTGTATAACAAAGTGAATCAGCTATATGTATATATATATATCCCCATATCCCCTCCCTCTTGCGTCTCCCTCCCACCCTCCCTATTCCACCCCTCTAGGTGGTCAGATAGTTCAGACCCATTTTAAACTTCTTTATGTTTTGTAAATTTTGTTGTCCATAAATTTTCTTTTTGATTTTATTTTCAGTGTCCAAATCAAGTGGAATCAACAGTTCAGTGCATTTAATTTGCTACTAAACTTAATAATTAAAAAGTTAAAATATCTTTAACTCACTTTTCATTTAGTATGCTGAAAAGTAAAAGCCCCTACTTGCATTGTAAATTTTGAGCTTTCACTTAAACTGGCTTTCTCCACTAATCTGTTTCTGTCCTGGTAATAAATGGTAGAACATGCCATTTTTACATATTAAATCATAGTTTGTCTCTTAAAATAGACTAGAATTTGAAACAAGCCTGTGTCCTTAACACGTGAATTTTTTATACAGGTATATAGGAAGGATCCCTATCCTGAGGAAGTGATGAGACAGAACCATGTTTTGAAGCAGCCAGCTGTTGCTCACCCAGGGCAGAGGCTAGACAAGGAGCCCAGTCTGAGCTATGAGCCGCAGCCCCCATACGCAGAGAGACAGGCCAGCAGGGACGTGGAGCAGCCTGCCTACAGATACGACTCCTCAAACTACGCAGACCAGTTTCCTCGAAACTATGACCATCGTCTGCGCTATGACGACCGCATCCCTGCGTATGAGGAGCAGTGGTCCTATTATGATGACAAACAGCCGTACCAGCCCCGGCCTTCTTTTGATAATCAGCATCCGCGAGACCTGGACTCCAGACAGCATCCCGAGGAGTCCTCAGAACGAGGGTATTTCCCACGTTTTGAGGAGCCAACCCCTCTGTCCTATGAAAGCCGACCGCGCTACGACCCGCCACTCAGGACCTCCACCCTGCGGCACGAAGAGCAGCTCGCTCCTGGGTTTGACGTGCACGGGAGGTACAGGCCAGACGCGCAGCCCTACTCCTCCACAGGCCCCAAGGCGTCTGAGCCTAAGCAGTATTTTGACCAGTACTCACGGAGTTATGAGCAGGTCCCGCCCCAAGGCTTCACCTCCAAAGCAGGCCCGGGCCACTACGAGCCTCTCCACGGTGCTGCCCTTGTCCCGCCTCAGCACAAGCCGGAAGTGCCGCCCGCAAGTACCAAACCACTGCCTCCACCTCCAGCTCTGGTCGAGGAAGAGGAAGACCCAGCGATGAAGCCACAGTCAGTGCTCACCAGAGTGAAAATGTTTGAAAACAAAAGGTCTGCATCAGTGGAGAACAAGAAGGACGAAAACCATAACTCTGGTTTCAAGGTAAATACGTGACTGTGTCTCCTGCCTCACGTTCAGAGCACATTCAGTGACTGTTGTGCGTAACGCTTCATAATGTTCCCTCCCCCCTTCAACGAAGACTGTTTTCTCATGATCTCTCCCTGAGGCTCGTGTGTCTTATTTTTCTGCAGCCTCCAGAGGTCACGTCTAAACCTGCAGGTGCTCCCGTCCTGGGTCCTAAAGCCCCTGCTCAGAATCAGCTCATTGAACACGACAGAACACTGCACAGGTGGGTGCTTTGCGGGCTTGTGGCCTACAACTGACTGGGAGTGTGGCCCTCTTACTAGAGAGGAGGCGGGGAAGGCAGAGGTCTCCCTTGTCCTTAGGTGAACTCCTCCAGCTTTTGCAGTTAAAACAGTGGTCCTAGAAGGAAAAGTAAACAGCTTTATTTATTATACCTTCTGTAACACATCTTTGTTATTCTTTCAGTTAACAAATCTTTCGAACACATATTTCTCTAGCAAATGGCTAAAGTACAGTTTTTAAAGCCCTGATAACTTTTGGACTGTGTTTTTTAGTTTAATAAGTGCTTTTGGACGTGCAAACTGTTAGTTTTTAGGGGTGAGGAAACAGATAGCTATGAGATAACTAAACTTAATCCTTTAGAAAGCGCCAGGAGGGATGAAGCTGAGGCTGACAGGAGTTGCTGGGAGAGGAACCCGCCAGCTGTGCTCTTAGCTGTGGCCTGATTTGGCTGCTGCTAAGTTGACGGGCTGCATCTGAATACAGTTCTTTGGCCTAATATGTTTCATTCGCTTATATTTGTGCTTGTAATAAAGAGGAACTACTGTCTAACATGTACATTTTCCTCTGATTTTAATGTCTATTGCTCTTCATGAAAATGTAAACTACTGTGATGTCTCCTTTAGCTGGGATCACTAGCAAATAAGCTCTTCTACACAGAGTAGACATGTAATAACTGAAAGCTTAGCCCCCCTTCTTGGTGTGAAACGTATTTAAGTTTATCCGTTTTTGATGCAGAGTTTCTGAAATTTGCTAACTAGGGCCTATGTAACAGTACCTTAATTTGCTGATAATGTACTTTCTTCCCCATGTGCTTCCTGTGTCCTCTGGAACTTTGGACATGTCGAGCTCTTTCCTTATGTGAGGATCATTTATTGATCCTGCTGTAAAGTTCTTCAGCTCTCGGTTTTTATTGTTGCTGACGAGGATGGTGCATGTACTTGAGGAAGCCCTCCACTGTCTGCCTTACTTTTCTTTTTCTGATGAGCTGCTTCTAACCAGGTCACTATCAAGCTCAGTAGATAGGTTGTGTTTAGGTACGACTCATGGGCCAGGAGAGTGTTGCCATTGAGTATAATGTGTGAGGACACGGGACTGGGAATGTCCACCTTGACTGCTGCACTGCTCAGCCAGATCCTGAGTAATCACAGCAGTCAGTGGAAGGTCAAGGTGAAACTTATGTATTCCATTTTATTTGTCAAATTAACTTCTCAAAAGTTGTTCCATTTATCATTCATCATCAGGATCCCCGAACCGCAAAAACCTCAAATGAAGCCGCCTGAAGACATTGTTCGGTCAAATCATTATGATCCTGAGGAAGATGAAGAATACTATCGAAAACAGCTCTCCTACTTTGATCGAAGAAGTTTTGAGAGCAAGCCTTCTGCACATGTCCCTGCCAGCCACCTCTCAGAGCCCGCCAAGCCGGTTCATTCTCAGAGTCAGCCACAGTTTTCTAGTTACTCTTCCAAGTGAGTTATTTTGTTTAAGACTTACCTTTTAAAAATAAGATGAAACATAAAGTGGAGTTAATCACACAAAGTTCAGTGTGTGTGTGTGTGTGTGTGTGTGTGTGTGTGTGTGTGTGTGTGTGTGTGTGTGTTGTGTGTGTGTGTGTGTGTGTGTGTTGTTTTGTTTTGTTTTTTTGGCCTTGCTGCATAGCATGCGAGATTTTAGTTCCCTGACCAGGGATCAAACCCTTGCCCCTGCAGTGGAAGTGCAGAGTCCTAACCACTGGACTGCCAGGGAAGTCCTAAGTTCAGTATATTTTGAAGGAAAATAGTTAGCTAGCTATGTGATACATGACTGCTGTAGGCTCTTAGCATTTCAGCAGTGTGTGTGCTATCTAGCTCTGGGATGTGTGTTTTTTGTTCTTAAACTCTAGTGTCAGATATGTAAATTTTTTGCATTAAAAAATATGTTAAAATCAAAGGATTTTGAAATCAAAGCGTTTTGAGGTAAGAGAGGGTAAACGGTTAAGACCCTGATTTTTAAGAGTCTCTCCCTTCTGTGCAGCACACGTTCTCATCCTTCTTTTCTGTTTGTTTTTTAAATATAAAAGTAGGGTTAGGGCTTCCGTGGTGGCGCAGTGGTTGAGTGCACCTGCCGATGCAGGGGACCACGGGTTCATGCCCCGGTCCGGGAAGATCCCACATGCCGCGGAGCGGCTGGGCCCTTGAGCCATGGCCGCTGAGCCTGCGCGTCCGGAGCCTGTGCTCCGCAACGGGAGAGGCCACAACAGTGAGAGGCCCGCGTACCAAAAAAATAAAAAAAATAAAAAACAGTAGGGTTATGTTAGGGAGTGACACTGGGGGACGATACTAAAGAGTTTAAAAAAATTTTTTTTCCAAGTCAAGAAAAAACTTGTCTTTTATTATTGTTTGAGCTTGAGGGGACTTTAGAGATTTCTGGTTCAGCTGTAAACATGAGGAACCCAGGCTCCAGCGAGGGGCCGTGACAGGGGCAGAGCTAGGACTGAGCCCCAAGTTCCTGCTATCTTTTTCCTGTCTGTGCTGCTCCCTTCTGTTTGCTTGTCTACTGGGTTTTTTGTTTTTCTTTCTTGTGTGTTTTGTTGGGGTACAAACTACAAACCCACATGTGCCCGTGTGAGTTCGTATCCCATTCTGGTTCTGCCACTGGTTGAACCCTGACTGATGGTGAATTTGGTTCTGAGAGTGGAGTATAAACACACACAGGCACAGGTGGGTTCATACTTGAGCAGAACAGGCCCACAAGAATGGAAATAGATGTGGATTTATTACAAGGGATTCATTTACACAGTTGTGGGGCCAGGCTGAGCAAGTCCTAAGTCTGCAGGACAGGAAGGGAAATGCCTAGTGGTCTCGGAGCTCAGGGAAGCCGTTAAGTCCTCTTGAGAAGGGCCCATCTAGATAATCTCCCTGGGGATACCCGTATTAGTGTTTGAGTGAATAACTAGGACTGTAGTTCTGCATAGCCAAGATGAGACATTAAAAAGCAACCACAAATCACTTTTGTGCCTAAGTTTAAAAGCATGCAGATTTTTACTGAATTAGATGCTTCGGACTGTCTGAACATATCATTTGTCACTTACTGATCAGTGAAAATTCTTTTAGAATATACTTTAAAACCTCTAATATTAAAAGCCTACTTAAAAAAATTAATTTATTTATGGCTGTATTGGGTCATCGTTGCTGTGCGCGAGCTCTCGCTAGTTGCGGCGAGCGTGGTGTACTCTTTGTTGCGGTGCGCTGGCTTCTCTTGTTGCGGAGCACAGGCTCTAGGTGCGCGGGCTCAGTAGTTGTGGATTGCAGGGTCCAGAGCACAGGCTCAGTAGTTGTGGTGCACGGGCTTAGTTGCTCCGTGGCATGTGGGCTCTTCCTGGACCAGGGCTCGGACCCGTGTCCCCTGCATTTGCAGGCGGATTCTTAACCACTGCGCCACCAGGGACGTCCCTAAAAACCTACTTTCAATTACCACTTGCCTTCTAAGACATCATTTAAAGTGAAGATTTAAAACCTTTCCCACTGTTATCCATTTAAATCTTTGTCTACGGAAGAAAGCAGTTTATGAGAAACACAGCTGCGAACTGTGAGTGGTGCAGTGCGGGCTCTGTTTGAAGCAGACAGTCTTGCACGAGTGTTGTGAGCCTCCCCTAACACAAGCCTAGAGAGGTGCCCAGTGCATCTGGAGAGAGTCCGGACCAGGACGAGCCGGGCATGGAGCCTGAGGAGCTCACCTTCTGTGAGATGGAAGGGCGTCACCACTTTTACTGAAGCCGTTTAAACATATTCATTCCTCTCAGCAGGGAGTCCAGTTTAAAGAGAGATTTTATTTATCCTTTTACATACTTGGTAAATAGAATATAGCCTTAACAGGATACATTTAGGTCTAAAAAGTAAATTAAAAGTTTTGCTAGGGAATCAGATGACAAGGTATTTTTGGTTTTGTGTGAATCTTGTTCTCTAGAGAGAAGACTCAATAATATATCTATGACGTATAGCTTTCAGACATGGTTTAGAACACTGCCGAGCACTTGGCGGTGGAGGGGCTCAGTCATTCCACGTGGAGTGACCAAGGCTCAGCACAGGCCCCGGCGCGCTCCCCCTCATGTCCACAGCCCTGGGAGGAACCAGTGTTTGCTGGGCAGAGGTCCCACAAGAAAAGAGATCACGTCTGTCTCTGTAGATTCACTGCGGACTCGGTTTGATATTACTGTTTACTGTTGGTAGTGTTATGGGGTGAGAAAGTCTAACTTGAGATGGATACTAGGATGCCTTTCCTTCCTTTGTATATGAAAGTAATGCTGCATTTTCCCATATAATAAGGTTTTTTTAAAAAAATAATTTTTGGCTGCGTTGGGTCTTCCTTGCTGCCATGCGGGCTTTCTCTGTTTGCGGCGAGTGGGGGCTACTCCTTGTTACGGTGCGTGGGCTTCTCATTGCGGTCTTGTTGCAGAGCATGGGCTCCAGGTGCGTGGGCTTCAGTGGTTCTGGCTCGCGGGCTCTAGAGCACAGGCTCAGTCATTGTGGCTCACAGGCTTAGTTGCTCTGCGGCATGTGGGATCTTCCCGGACCAGGGCTCGAACCCATGTCCCCTGCATTGGCAGGCAGATTCTTAACCACTGCACCACCAGGGAAGTCCTCCCATATAGGTTTTTAATGGTTAGAGAGTTAGAAAGGAGACTCAAGTGTCCTAGAAGATGACTCAGCAGGGAGGTGGTTC